GATGGTACACAAGGCAAATATCGAACACAGTATTTAATTAAATCTTGCCCAAGTACTTTCGATCACAAGATCATCCTCAGGGGCATCTGAAATAAGCCAAGAAACGTTTTTAAAAAAAGAAATTTTAATTCACTTGGATAAAAACTCCAAGTTTATAGTTGAAAAAAGTTTTTTTTATGTGATTAACGTTTATAGACTTACTTCGTCAATTGTGGCCTATCCAGCAATAACCGAATGTCATACATGTAAACTGGGACATAACAAATACACTAAAGACAAACAAACACTTTAAAATTTAAATTGGAGAAGCTACATTTTTATATTATAGAAGCCGGAGACAGCCACCTGGCGGAGGCGGAAATATTGGGTGACATGTGACAAATGACAGCTTGTGAAGGGCAGTTACAATAGATAAGTGATCTGCGCCTTTCAAGATTCTATGAAACTAGGTATTGACCAAAGGTCCAACTGACACCACTATAGGAAATCAACTGAAGAAATATAAAATTATATCTAATATTGTTATGTAGATTGAATAATCCAGATCTCACACTCAAACCTGTTTATAATAATTAGGATGTTAGTTTGAGAGAAATTGAAGTTGACATAAAGTATGAATGTAAGAAATAGACTAAACAATATATTAGACAGTGGATAGTTGACTACAATAAAATGGTCTACTAAGCGCTATCAGTACTGTAAAAAGAAAAGAAAATCTGAATATTCAATTGAATTGCTAAAATTAAAATCAAAATTAAAAGCAAAATATATAAATGGGTTGTAATCCAAGTAGTTCAGTTGAATCCACAGTCAATGGAAGAACTTTCAAATTAATATGTAAATACTCAGTGCATGAAGTCTAAACAGTCGAGCTGGGCCCTCTACGAGGTGGAGCTGTAATAAAGTTTTTAAATATAGGATTAAATTTAGTACAATTTAAATTAATTTGAGTATTAAGACAGTGAGAGTTTTCATTTGTTTCCCTTGTAATCTCCAAATCTTCCAATAAATCCAACTCAAGATAGTTTTTCTTTCTACTGATGTCATGTAAGATGGATGAACCAGAATTGATGTTAAAATTGTGGTTGCTGGATACTAAGTGTTGACCAAAACTTGAAGAGTTTGGTCTTTTCAAATGTTCAGAGACTCTAGTGGATAACTTTCTGATGGTTCTACCTACATAAGAGGCATCACAATCATCACATTTTAATTTGTAAATACCACTTTTATCAAGTGTATTCATCCTATCTTTGGTATTGATTAAGAAGGAGCCTAGAGTGTTATGTGATTTAAACGAGATTTTGATGTTATCAATTGTAGAAGTAAAAAGTTTAGATATTTTATTGGAAATGCTGCTAATATAAGTGAAGGAGAAATACCTATAACACCTAGGTTATATGGACTTCCTAAAATCCATAAACACAATTGTCCCATAAGGCCTGTAGTAAGTTTTTGTAACACTCCAGTTTCTATTTTATCAGAGTTCATCTACAACACAATTCAGTCTACCACTAATTTTAAACCTAAGTTCTCCATCAAAAATTCTTTAGATCTAATAGAACGTTTAAATAACATTAGGATAGAAGAGGGTTTTTATTTAGTTTCTTTTGATGTTTCCAATTTGTTTACTTCTGTACCAAGAGATGAAACTTTACCTTTAGTACACAACCTTCTAGATAATTGCAACATATCTGCAAAGGATAAAGATGCTATATCAACTATGCTTAAATTCTGTCTTGATCAGGACTTCTTTCAATTTAATCAAAAGATATATAAGCAACCAACAGGTTTAGCAATGGGATCTCCATTATCACCTTTTCTAGCTGACATTTTCTTAGACAGCTTAGAACAGAAGTTTGTTAACAACAACAACAAAATAGTTTTTTGGTCAAGATATGTGGATGATTGTATAGCTCTCATTAAGGGAACCCAAGATGATGCTCTACAGATTCTGGATGATCTCAATAACCTCCATCCTAACATCTCTTTTACTCTGGAACCAGAATCTGACAATAAGTTGAACTTCTTGGATATGACTATGTCCCGTAACAAAGATTCTTTAGAGTACAACATTTATAGAAAACCCACCCAAACAGATCACGCTATACATGAAACGTCTAACCACCCTACTCAGCATAAAATGGCTGCTTTCAACAGTTACATTCATCGATTACTTAAATTTCCTCTTTCTGATGATAATTTTAATACAGAACTCAATACTCTTAAACAGATTGCTGTCAATAATGGCTATGATCCTAACATTATATACAAACTTCTAAATAGAGCTAAACTAAAAATTGCAGAAAAGCTTGCATATTCATCACAGTCTTTTCAACCTAATGTTTCAGATAACATCAGATATTTCTCCTTCACTTATATTAGCAGCATTTCCAATAAAATATCTAAACTTTTTACTTCTACAATTGATAACATCAAAATCTCGTTTAAATCACATAACACTCTAGGCTCCTTCTTAATCAATACCAAAGATAGGATGAATACACTTGATAAAAGTGGTATTTACAAATTAAAATGTGATGATTGTGATGCCTCTTATGTAGGTAGAACCATCAGAAAGTTATCCACTAGAGTCTCTGAACATTTGAAAAGACCAAACTCTTCAAGTTTTGGTCAACACTTAGTATCCAGCAACCACAATTTTAACATCAATTCTGGTTCATCCATCTTACATGACATCAGTAGAAAGAAAAACTATCTTGAGTTGGATTTATTGGAAGATTTGGAGATTACAAGGGAAACAAATGAAAACTCTCACTGTCTTAATACTCAAATTAATTTAAATTGTACTAAATTTAATCCTATATTTAAAAACTTTATTACAGCTCCACCTCGTAGAGGGCCCAGCTCGACTGTTTAGACTTCATGCACTGAGTATTTACATATTAATTTGAAAGTTCTTCCATTGACTGTGGATTCAACTGAACTACTTGGATTACAACCCATTTATATATTTTGCTTTTAATTTTGATTTTAATTTTAGCAATTCAATTGAATATTCAGATTTTCTTTTCTTTTTACAGTACTGATAGCGCTTAGTAGACCATTTTATTGTAGTCAACTATCCACTGTCTAATATATTGTTTAGTCTATTTCTTACATTCATACTTTATGTCAACTTCAATTTCTCTCAAACTAACATCCTAATTATTATAAACAGGTTTGAGTGTGAGATCTGGATTATTCAATCTACATAACAATATTAGATATAATTTTATATTTCTTCAGTTGATTTCCTATAGTGGTGTCAGTTGGACCTTTGGTCAATACCTAGTTTCATAGAATCTTGAAAGGCGCAGATCACTTATCTATTGTAACTGCCCTTCACAAGCTGTCATTTGTCACATGTCACCCAATATTTCCGCCTCCGCCAGGCTGGAGCCATTCTGTCTCCGGCTTCTATAATATAAAAATGTAGCTTCTCCAATTTAAATTTTAAAGTGTTTGTTTGTCTTTAGTGTATTTGTTATGTCCCAGTTTACATGTATGACATTCGGTTATTGCTGGATAGGCCACAATTGACGAAGTAAGTCTATAAACGTTAATCACATAAAAAACTTTTTTCAACTATAAACTTGGAGTTTTTATCCAAGTGAATTAAAATTTCTTTTTTAAAAAACGTTTCTTGGCTTATTTCAGATGCCCCTGAGGATGATCTTGTGATCGAAAGTACTTGGGCAAGATTTAATTAAATACTGTGTTCGATATTTGCCTTGTGTACCATCAAAGTTCATATATATATATATATATATATATATATATATATATATATATATATGTATATATATATATATATATATTATATATATATATATATATATATATATATATATATATAAATATATATATATATAATTTTATTTTTAATCATATCATTTACGATGTTTTCCTGTGGAAGTGGCTAAAACCTATTTAAGAGTGTAATTGGAGCTTCTTCTTCTTTTAAATCTTGACGTATAAGAATTTTACTTTTTAAATCGATAAAACTGTAGATATTGGTCAAAGGAGAATCCTCATTGGATGCGTGAGACACACATTCAGTTTTCTAAAAAGTTGAATGTTCGGGCAAGTATTATAGATCATATTATTGTTCCTATATTTGTAGATGGTAATTTGACAGCGGAAAAATATTTAAGCACGCTAAGAGGCGATGTTCTTTCTCAGTTGGCTAACTTAAGTCCCAATTACATAAATTCGACCCTACTGCATGAAGCTCTCTGGTTCCAGCAGGACGGTGCAACATTCCATTATGCTTTATTGGTAAGAAATTACTTAAATGAAATCTTCTTTAAAAAATGGATTGGACGAAGGGGTACTAATGAGTGGCCAGCTAGGTCGCCAGATCTGACGCCTTTCGATTTTTTTCTGTAGAGTTATCTCAAGAACAAAGTATATGTAACACAACCAACTAGCATTAAAGACCTTAAAAAAATGATAACTACAGAAATACAGAATATTTTACCTTAAACTTTAAAGAAAGTTCGGAACGAGTTTAGTAGGAGACTGTGTTATTGCCAACGGCAAGGTGGAGAACATTTTGAGCATTTATTTTAATGTAATCCAATCAATTATCTCGGGTATTCTATGAATTAATTGTCTTGAAGAAAATTAGACCTAATTTCAAAATTTCACTATGTATTATTAGTAATAGACCCTACGTGATATAGTTAGTTAAGATCAGATTGTTAAGGAACTTTTAAAACATATAAATATACAGGGTGTTTCATTCAAAATACAGATTATTGACTATGCCAGACTGAGTGGATCACCCTGTACATTCAAATTTATGTTTAAAAAGCGCACATTTAAATTTAAAAGTTAAGAATTCTCAACGTTTTTTATTATTTTCTAAAATAAGGACACAAACAATTTTATTCCATAAATGGATTCCACACTGTAGTGTATATAGATAGTATAGGCTTAATTTAATTCAAAATATATTAATCAGTACTTAACAGAAAATATCTTGTTTATAGTCGATAAAAAATCTGTTTTTATCTCATAATTATAAACGATAAAGGACATCGGTATGTAATCAAAATTTAGTATTAGAGGTGATTTGTGCTAAAATGGAAACTGCTATTAAATTACTAATACTAGGAATATCCACCGTCGTTGCATACGATATTGTAAGTAAATTATTAATGTACAATAATTCTATCTATAGAACTTCATTTTACGGATACTAGTTTAAATGTTTGGTATAACGAATTGTTTAAATATCTCTAAAATGGAATATGTTTGCATTATATGCATTTTGTTTTCCAATTTTCGCTTAATATTCTAAATAAAATTCAAGTTATTATACACAACACATTTTATATTGATTGGTACCCTAAATATTATACTACCAACATTCAAAGAACATTCAGTTAACTATGATTTGGGCTGAGGAAGTTTAAAAACATATGTTATACGAGGACAAACACAGTGCAAGAATAAATACCATAAAAAAATACAGAAATACAAATTTAGTATATATTCACGGTAATAGAAGAATATTTACTTGATGGCTTCCCTTTCTTCGTACAGTTAACTAGGGATGCCTTTCTTCAATCGTCTTGTACCTTATTACCAGCTGCTGCTGTTATAGTGTGTGTTAGTTTGCAAAGCCTTTTCTTTGGATGAAATCCTAAAACTCTTTATAAATTACGAATCACTACTTTTACCGGTTTTGTGTTTTATTTTGGTTTCTTTATAGTTATTTGATTTATGTATCCCGCAAAGTTACATTCACTGAATGTCCTATCGAATGGACTATGCACTTAAAGTTTTCTATATACTTGTTATTTTTGATTTAGCGTGAGGCGCTTGTCTTTCATTCTTTCAGTATTTTATGCTCTGTATCTTCCCATTTCATTTCGGTCGGTATGTGTTTCTTTCCTCGACCCCCTTATTTTGGAAAAACTTCTTTATACTAAGGCTCAGCACTTGATGATTCTTAGATCCCTTGTTTGTCCAGATTTTTGTTTATTTTAATGATCTTTGTTAGTATGTTTTGTGGTTTTTCTTCTGTTATATTTTCCTATTTTTTTTAATAAGGTACTAAAACTATAATCTACAATGTGATTTTAATAATTACAATGCAATTTACAAAAGGCATTTAACCATTTTATAGGTAGTTTGGACATAAAGTGTGCATAGAAACTCTCCGGACAAACAAAGACCGGAGATTTCTCTGATAATTTTAAGACAATTTAACCCAATTCACCTAGTCTAGTCAGAAAATGCTTCCTACGGGAGCTAGAGCTCTTGGAATATGTCGCCTTGTAATTAGTTATTTTTAAAACTTCCAGTACCGGTCATGGGCATCTGTTTTGTGTAGATCAACGGTTATTTTAACGCATTACTTTTTTGCATTTATTTTTTATACTAGATAATATACTATTATTATACTAGTATAACATTCTTTATACTAGAGTATTAAATGTTCGGGTATTTTAGTACCAAAAGTAATCCTACTTTATTAAGTCCATATGATGCTCCGTTTTCTAGAAAAATCGTCATGAAAGGTAAATTAATATACAGGGTGAGTCATAACTATTGGGACATAGACTAAGGACAGGTTATTTGGACCAAAATATGGCTGTTGGGCCAAATATGTTGCTGAGAAAAAAGATACAGGGTGTTAAAGTTCATTTTTCTTTTTCGTTTTTTGCTAATAGTTTCCCTGTATATTTATAAATTGCTATTAACATTGGCACAGAGGCATAATCTTAAACAAGAAATAGTATTTTATTTACAAGTTTACGTTTTGTCATAGAGGGCGCTACGTGGATCATTCCTAATGATCAAATTGAGTCTAAACTTTTTCTGATGAAACTTTTTAGTAATTTTTATTAAAAAATATGACGTAAACATTATTTTTACGTAAAATTGGTACTCTTGTTTAAACATTATAATGTCAACCGTTTTCGATAAAAACGCAGTCTAACTGCTTAGAGTCTTAAAAAAGGATTTCAAATCTTATTTCATTTATGAAAAGTATGCTTTGGACTGTCAGATAATTGTTGTTGGTAAATGTAATTTGTTCAGAGTAAATTATTTTTGATATGACAGTGTAGTGTAATGTTGCATTTTTTAAAAGTAATCATTACTTTTTTTTATTAAAATGCCTCGTCACAATCATTTTACTAATGAAGAAATGCGAGATATGATTTGCGTATACGCACAAGAAAATTTTTGCGGTCGCTCGGCAGCCAGAAGATATGGAATGTTATATGCAAACAGAAGGCAACCAAATCACAAAACCTTTGCAAGATTATATCGTAGTTTAGGTAAAACTGGGTCATTTCACACTAAAAATCGGGGTGGTCGACCGAAACAAATCACACATAATCAAGAAGATGAACTTTTGGTTCGAGTAGATGAAAATCCTGAAATAAGTTCACGATATCTATCAGCAGCAACAGGAGTAAGTCAGTCGTCCATTGTTAGAATTCTAAAAAAAGAGAACCTCCATCCTTATCACTTCACTTCTGTTCAAAATTTACTTCCAACAGATCTTCCACGACGGTTACAGTTTTGCCAACGTATTCTGAATAAACATCGCAATGACGAGACACTTTATTAGGAATATTATGTTCACCGACGAAACAACTTTTACCATACGAGGCGTTTTTAATTGGCGAAATAGTCATTATTGTGAGGAAGAAAACCCGCATGCTATTAAAGCTAGACATTTTCAGCATGAGTTTAAATTGAATATTTGGTGTGGCATTATAGGCGATCAACTACTAGGGCCTTATGTTCTTTCTCCGAATTTAAATGGAGATTCTTATTTATTCTTTTTGGAAAATACTCTTAATGATATTTTAGATGATATGTCACTGGATGTAAGAAGAAAAATGTGGTTTATGCAGGATGGAGCGCCACCTCATTTTTCATTAGCTGTTAGAAATCATCTTAATGACGTATTTCCTCAACGATGGATTGGCAGAGGCAGTGATTTTTAATGGCCACCAAGAAGTCCTGAGTACAACCCGCTAGATTTTTATTTTTGGGGACATATGAAGTCCTTAGTTTATGCCAATGAAATTAATACACGAGATGAACTTTGAAGATACATTCAAAATGCAGCTAATCTTATAAGGGAACAAAATAATATTTTTTTAACGTCCGAAAATCCTTTATAAAAAGAATTACAAAAGGCATAGAAATCGGATTAGACCATGTAGAACATTTAGTTTAAGTTTTTGTGAGTTCTTTTAAGTTAAAGTGTGTTTAGTTTTGATTTGTCGTCAAAATGGAAACCTTACGTTAGTTGCAACTTTGTTTATTAGTTTGGTATTTGATAGTGGAATTGTAAATAAAATACTATTTCTTGTCTAAGATTATTCCTCTGTACCAATTTTGATAGCAATTTATAAATATACAGGAAAACTATAAGCAAAAAAACGAAAAACAAAAATTAACTTTAACACCCTGTATTTTTTTTCTCAGCAACATTTTATTAAGGCATATTTGGCCCAATAGCCATATTTTGGTCCAAATAACCTGTCCTTAGTCTATGTCCCAATAGTTATGACTCACCCTGTATAACTTAATTAATTTTGTAATTTTTTTTGTTTTAATAAATGAGCATATAATTCGTAAAAAAAGTTTGGAAAAAAGAAGCAAAAAATCAAATTAACACAAAATTTCATTTAAATGGTTTTAAAAACAGGGTATTTATTACGATGGAACGAAACGTACACAACAGAACAAGTATCAAAAGTAGATAGTTACAAAAGATGCTTATGTTGATGACCATTAGTCTTTATGCATAAATTTGCTCTTTTGCTTAGAGAACGCCGAATTCGTGCAAAATTCCAAAGTTATTTCTAAATTCGTTGCAAGCATCTTATATCCTAACCAGAGTTGAGCACGATTTGGTATCGGAACGAAATAAACATAATAATCGCATGTTTTAAAATCCGGTGACCTTGCTAGCCAAGTAGCTGGACAGCCTATTCCAATCCAGTGGTTTTCGTAATTATTACCAAGAAAGACTCGCACATTCCTGCTAAAGTGGGTCGGACTGCCGTCATATAAAAACCATACATTTTTCCGGATATTTAAAGGCACGTAGTCTAATAAATCAGGTAAAACATTGTGCAGAAAATGTAAGTAATTAACACTATTTAAACCAGCAGGCAATTCCACACGCTCAAGTAGATAGTCGTTGACAATATATATCCAGACGATTATGGTAAGCCTATGCTGATACCTCAATTCTTGAACAACGTGGGAATTGTCACCGACGTACGAATAACCATCTAGTTAATTCTTCACGAGCAGGTAAATCTCCTTGTGACACTGCTTGTACAGTAGCAGTGCTTTGTAAAATAAAAAGGATATACATTTTCGTTGTGTAAGATATTTTCTATGGAAGATTTTGTAATTGTGGAATAGAGATATTCTTTGAAAGTTAATTTATGGATTTTTCTCAACTTCCATTAAAATAACATCTTCATGTGCTGCTGTTATATCATCACATCGCCCTGTTCTATTATTTTTTGGGACCACTGAACGTGTTTCTTTTTATCGTTTATGATGCGACAATTTAAACAATTAAGGAGGCTAATATTGAAGAAGAAGCAGTCTTTAAAGCCTACATACTAGAAGAAAAAAGAAGATGATGGGATGTAAATGTTGAGTGAGTGGAATCACGATTGAGCAAAGTTTCAGGGTATCAACGTTGTGCTGCTGGAGCGTTACAACTCATTTCGCCATAAACTAAAACATATGAGCGTATTTCTCATTAGTTAAAACTATTTCTGTTAAATTGAAATTCACAAGAAAATTAAGTTCTTATAGCTGGCTGTATACCACGTATCACAAAATAATTTATTTAAAAATTCCTTTATAAATTTTTTTATATTAAAACACCCTATCGGGCTACAAACAATTTGTCATGTTATCAATTCCTGTTGTAATTTAAAGATCCTAGTATATAAGATCAAACAATGTAACTCAATTTCAATTTAACAACATTTAACGAGTTTTTACTTAAGTATTTAGTGGCTTAAAGTATGTACATCCAGATAGCACTGATGATGAAATAATAATTCCGAAAATTTTCTGTGATATAGCCCGATAGGTTTTTTTAGTATTATACCTTTTATAAAGCAATTTTTAAATAAATTGAATTTTTTCTATTTGAATACCAAAAAGTTAAAAGCTAAAAGTTTCGAGAACTGAACACAATTTGACAATAAGAAACGGTTATACTTCTGTTGGCAGATCAACGGCCAACAGGTGCAAAAAATAATAATTTATTCTTCGTGGCGAAAAAACGAATAATTTTAAAATTGATTTTTCTAGAAAACGTTGTATCCTATCGACTTAGAGTAGGAGAGTACGTTTTAGCGTTCAATCAACGGTTTTAGTAATAAATTACCTAAAAATTCAATAATCTAGTATCAGTAATGCTTAAAAGACAAAAAAGCGCTCTGAAGGTATATAACAAAAACTAATTACTTTTAATAACTAAGCATTCTCGAACTAGCTGAATTGGGTTAAATTATCTTAAAATTATATGAGGAATCTCTGGTGTTCGTTTGTCAGGAGAGTTTTTGGATACCCTGTATACATATATATTTTTTTATTATTTATATCACATTTATGTTTGTATGATTTGAATTAGTCATTAGATTTCAAAAACCATATAAGTTAAAACATGAAGATTTGAGGCCAATTTCCACAAAGATAAAGAGATGAAGTCGGCATATCGCTGTTCTTGCTTAAGTCCAACAGTATTTGAACCATTTTGCCAGATAGCTTTTAAACCCTATCAGCTCAGCTAATGTATTCTACACTTTGTCGTAACGACCTAGTTTTCGGCATATCCGAAATTTTCTTAACTTTGCTTTTTTTATAGAATAGAATATTAGAATAGAATATTCTTTGTTAATCGCATCAGATCACATTGTGATATAGGACAAGTAATATAGTACATAAAGCATGATCAACAAGTTATATAGGACAATTACATAAAACAAAATTAATAAAATATAGATTAATATAAAAATAAAAAACAAAGATATGCAATATAGAGCGTCTCTGAACTCTTCGGTCCTTATCCTCTGTAGTCTTTTATTAAGACAAAACATTCATTTAGGTTGTAAACGCATATTTGGATCAAGCATGCTTTTAATTTATTTTTGAATTTTTGAATATTGTTTTCATTTCTTATATTAAGTGGCAAACAATTATAAAATTTAGATCCTGCAAAATCAGGACTAATTTCAAAGAGAAATGTGGAGCGTTTACATGCGCTTAACAACCTCCCGTGTCTTGTCGGGTAATTATGAAAGTCAGAGTTGAGGGTAAAATTTTGAAATTTAGTTTTGACGTGAATAATACACTTATAAATATATAAAGCATGAAAAGTCAACAGCCTGTGTTCAAGAAAATATTTACGACATGATTGTCTATTATTAATAATGAATATCAATCTAAGAATTCTCTTTTGAGTTATAAAAACTCTAGAAGAGTTTCTAGAGTTGCCCCACAAGATAACATTATATAGGCCATATATAAATAAACCAATGCATAATACACACTTATCAATTGATTGATATTAAATAGAGTTTTCAACTGAAGGATCGCATAGTAACCCTTATTTATTGTTTTGCAGACTTTAGTGACATTTTCATCCCATGTCATATTACTTTCTAGAATGCTACCAAGACATAATGTTGTATCACTAAAAGGTATTTCCTCAGAACTAACTGTGATTTTGTAACCATGGGATGGCTTAAAGCGCGAGTAGAACTGCATACAAATAGTTTTCTTTGCATTTACCATTAAAAAGTTCCTTTTACACCAGGTTGTAAATTCCTGTGCTACTAAGTTCATTTTTGATATGAGTTCGACTTCATTTGACTCGTCAACTACAATTGTTGAATCATCTGCATAAAGAACTATATGGTCTGCAGTTAAAAAATGTGTCAAATCATTGACATAGGTATAACAGAAATATTAGGGGTCCCAATACGGAGCCTTGCGGTACACCTCGATCAATATTAAAAACAGATGACTTCTTATTATCGACTTTTACTAGGAATTTACGATGTTGTAAGTATGACCTTAACCAGTTCAAGAAATAACCCCGAAAACCAAGGGCTTCTAATTTATGCAGTATAATTTTAATGTCAATAGAGTGAAAAGCCTTATTTAAGTCAAAAAAGAGTGCACCCACATACCTTTTTCGATCCAAAGCAGCGTGGATATAATTAAATAATGAAATAGAAGCACTCTCTGTAGATTTATTGGGAAGAAACCCATGCTGGCATTTATTTAAGATATCATATTTATTCAGAAAATTTAACATTTTACTATAAATACACTTTTCGATAATCTTAGAGAGTACACTTGTTACGGTGATTGGCCTGTAATTATCAACCAAACATATATCTGCAAAAAACAATCTAAAAAAAGAAGCGAGTACTGATTCTGGTAGTAACTCATCCCTTAATACTATGTGTCTGCTGGTATTAGTGCCAATTAATAGTTAATACTAACATATTGTATCGTGAGCTTCAGAAATATCGATAAATTTACCTAAGGTTTTTGATGATTCTGGGATCCTGTTTTGACAGTGCCGAACATTACGTTACAACTCTTAAAATTTATTTCTATCGATAAAGTATGAGTGTTTGACTAAGATTACCCCAAATAGCTCTAGTGTGATTCTGTTATAGATAATCCACTTTTGTAGCATGTAATTTTCGGCAAAAAATTTACTATTTGCCTGCAAGTTGTCTGTAGTTTTGCCGGCTTTTAGTAATACCATTACTGTAAAAACTTCTTGTGAGATTATAGAGTTTCTTTATTTTGCATGCATAATACCTTTAAAAGTACAAAGTCTAGCTACATGTGTATAAAATTTTTAAATTGTGTCAAGAGTTTGGGCTATATATTGTTAAAGTCTGAGGATTTTATTTTGTTAACGTCCCTAATTCATCTGATGTATGTATCTTAATTTCAAGAGTGACCAAAATGTTCTGAATCTTTTACTTTTTCTCTTACTATTCTGTCTTCTATAGATGCATATAAGCATCGTCCTTAAGTTCCTTATATAATGTACATACATCCGTTTATGTTATGGTTCTACAGCCCCATTCGAGCAGTGGCTCCCTCAGCAAACCTCTGCATTTATTACAATATGTAGCTATTCTCCTCCACATTCGACTCTCAAGAAAATTCCTTGCGTGCTTATTTACATCATGTACAAATACAAATACTTATAAATTTATTTATATTTTAGGCACAATCGGTAAGAAGTTTTGGGTACACCTTTGATAAGTTTAAAGTAACCACTGAAGATGGTTACATATTGGAAATCCATCGCATTAGCGAAAGTCCAAATGGAATTATGACTGACAAGAGACCTCCTGTATTAGTCATGCATGGTAAAAACCTTTGTAGTTTCTGTAGATAACTTTGTTATCAAATGATACTTTAACATGACACCATTTTTTTAACAATTATGTAACACATAACAAATTTTGTAACTATTTAAGGGTTTTTACCCAGATTTTAAGTAACTTAATTCATTTATACTTGGTAATAATACATTTATGATAGACTATTTAGTCCGAATAAGTTGTGTGATTTAGCTCAAGAGGGTGTGTTTTAATTATACACTTTTTATAAAGGATTTGTTATTTGGCACAATTGATTTGGACGTTATTTTTGGCCCAATATTCTTATTTAATATATGCTTGGGACTGTGTGTGTTCGGAATATATGCTGTGATCTGTTTTCTTGTTTTTTGGCTTTCATTAAAATTTTTTGGAAGAATACTGCTAAGCAAGATTTTCGTTTCTTTTCTGGTCCGCATATACAAAAATGTTTTTGCAGCTTCATCTATCCTATTCAGCTGCTAATTCTATAGCTAGTATAGTATTGTAGTATAAACGTTCATTTTTCCTATAGTCCAATTTTTATGAAATGCTATCGTTAACCATTTGAGGTCATGCTTCATAATAACAGCAACATTCGCCCTATCATAATACGTTTCCTGGGTTTCTGTGAAATTTTTAGGGTATGCTGTCCTAAGGAATACCCAATACACCCTCTAGTATCACAGCTGATTGCTTAGCGCCGCGTATGTAATATATTCGTAGTTAACCCTTAACAGTAAAAGCCTTTCACTCTGCATCACCTGTGACCTACTGTAGCCTAAAGCTTTTTAGATTTTAGGTAGGTAGACGTTAATCTCCTAGAAGTAGGAACATTACATTGTAAAATTCATTAAGGTAGCATTCTTTGGACGGATAGGACATGTAATTAAGCAGTGCAACAGTCAGAAAAGTTTTTGTCCTAAGATGGCCAATAAAACAAGCCAGAGAAAGACCGAGACAACGTAGAGGACAATTTGAAATATATTGGAGATAAAGCATAGAAAACTGTCAGATACAGGGGTGAACGGAGGATTGTTTTGAAGAAGGCTTTGGCTCATAACGAGCTATAATGTCACAGTCGGTATATGTTGCCAAAATCAACATCGTCTCCTAAAATCGTGTTTATCGATAGTGCAGTATGTAGATATGAAATATAGGTTTACAGTTATTTTGAACATTTTTAAAAACATGTATTGGAGTAAATTTAATAATTGTACGTCTTTCGCTGCGTATATCTACGTCATCAAAACAAAGTCATTTCAGTAGCATGAAGTACCAATGGAGATTTATTATTATTCTAAAAATGCCTATGCCGACTTTACCTTTTGACCAGAAATCCTCCATGTTCTGACGTCTTGAACAAATAAACCCGGCAATATATAGTTAACCAAACAACGCATACAGTTTAGCCATGCATATTTGATAACCATTTTTTTATCATCGGTTTGTTTTTTTTTGTTTGTAAAACTCACTATTATTTTAAGAATGCTTTTATCTATAAGCAGCTTCCAATATTCCACCATTGCCTTACAGTTTCTTGCACACCAGGTAAATGAATATTAAAGTTATGCGATTTTATACGAACATTTCGGTTCCCTCTTGTAGGTCTCCATTTTGCAGTCCGGTCTTTTTCTATAAAAGTATTTACGTCTGAAATACATTAGTCGTCGTCCAAAACTACTGACGTTTCTGAATCCGAATTGTGATCGCTGAACTGGGTAGCATCTACTTCAGAATCAGATGAATCTTTGAACTCTCCTATATCATCTTGTTCCGTTTCTTCTTCTGTTTCTTCTAGAAACGGAACAAGATGATAATATAGCCGAATTTAAAGCTCTGAAATGGTTTTGTTTTTGATCGTACCAAGCCATAATAAATTGGGCGTGAAGTAAAATATCTAAAAAAAATTAAAATTTATTAAGGATACAGTCTATATAACAATTTAAATCAAATATTGCAATAACAAATGCAAACATACCAAGTTTTTTTATCAAAAACACAAAAAAATTTAAAATATAAACTTCTACTTGTGGATCTGATGACACTAAAATTTGTGTTTATAGCTATAAGTTTAGAATGACAACGAATAACCACTTTAAGCGCAAAAAGATCTATGCTGTTTAATGTTATAGAAGGCTACTATGATGAGCAGCAATGTTCATCATCATCTTTAGCACTACAACCCTGGGTGAGTCTTGTCTTGTTCAAGAATTGGTCTCCATTCCCCCCTATCTTTCGCCCTGGCTTTCCAATTTCTGACCCTTAAATTCCTCAAGTCATCTTTGACTTGAGTTTTAAATCTAGATCTTGGCCTCCCTCTTCCTGGTTTCTACTGACTCTTGATAGAATATCTGTCTTTGGGGGTCTCCAGTGTCCATTCTTTCAAGGTGTTCTAGCCACCTAAGTCTATTACTTTTAATATACCAGATGATGTTGCATTTTTCATAGCATTGATAAAACTAAAAATTGTAGCGCCTGCACCATATCCCGCTTTCTTATACTTCTCCGTATGTGTGCCTAAGTATTCTTCTTTCAAAGCGGCCTAACAGTTTTTCGTCACTTTTTACCATAGTCCATGTCTCTGACGCGTGTGTCAGGACAGGTTCAGCAAGAGTTTCATATATTAGTATCTTGTTTTTTCTGCTATTCATGTATGATGTTAAAAACTGCTGTTCGCTAGATATATTTTTCTATTACTTTCTGCGCTCACTAGGTTGCTGTTATTTAGTAGTGTTCCAAGATATATAAACTCCGAGACCCCTTCGAATGTGTGTGCTTCTGTGACCAGATCTTGTGGTGCCGCTATTTGTGTGCTGTTTGTGACCTTCATGTATTTTGTTTTGGATACGTTGACCTGCAGTCCTATTCTCTCCGCGGTTTCTTCTAATATTTCAAAAGCCTGCATAGGTATTTTTTTGTCTATGTTACTATGTCAATGTCATTTGCGTAGGACAATATCTGTACACTTTTGTTGATGAACGTACCTCCGGTTGTTATGACCGATTTTTCTATGGCTCTTTCTAGCGCAACGTTAAATAATAGGCACGATAGACTGTCTCCCTGGCATAATCCAGTATGTGTTTGAGAAGACCTTGACAATGCAGCAATTTTGCCAACCTGGAACTACAAATATTTGATAAAAATGTGTTATGGGTTGCTGGTAGTACCACACACGGCAGTTGCCGGGCTAATGCAGAATAAAATAATGAAAATAAAATATAATATGTATTTACATCTAACTTTGACAGACCTGAATAATCATAGGTTTAATATTTACTTTTTCTTGCAACTTTTGTCTTCTATACTGTAATATCTCCAAAATGTAACTGCGCACAATTTGCATTATTCTATTATCTTGCAAGTAGATACATACCTCAATCCAAAAAGATATCAAGAAGATTTTATTAAAGTATTTTATATATAAGTTTTTACATCTGAAAACACATAGGAGAATAGTTTTTTTTTTTAATTAAATATTTTTGTTGAAAAATTGAAACATTTATATATTTTTTTATTTAGGTCTTCTAGGTTGCTCAGCTGATTTTATTCACATTGGTCCTGGAAAATCGTTACCGTTAAGATTAGCTGATGAAGGGTATGATGTGTGGCTTGGAAACAACAGGGGAAATACTTACTCTCAAAAACACAGCTCAACTACAATCAAAAATGCGTCTTTTTGGGACTTTAGGTAAGATTTAAAAATATCTTTTAAATTTTTTAACAATAAAACCAAACCAAAAAAATCTACTCTTATCAAAATTAAGTTAGTCCTTGTAATTGCTGTTCTATTCTATTCTACATCGACGCATTTTATTTTGCAGCAAAAAAAATATAATACATAGCAATTTTATTGCTGAAATATTAGCTTTAAAGCAGAAGAAATAAATTCTCATGGTAACGATTATATTTCTAACAAGTTTAGTGACAAAACAAGAAGCTGCTATAAGATCTATGAGCTTTCTAGACTATTTACAATCGCGATATTATCGTTGCAATTCTCTTCGATATTATCTTTCGTTGGATTTAAGTATAGAACTACTAGCACGTATATAAAATCTTTAAACTGATTAAAATGTAAAATCAAAAAACTCCTAATTTCGTTATATTTTAAAACATATATTAACCCCCTCTGTGGCTTAGTGGTAAGAGCGCCTGCCTACCTTTGAACCTAAAGGTCGTGAGTTCGAATGCCACCTGGGTGGAAATTTTCGTTTATTAAAAATTAATAAATGAAAATAATTTCTATCCTTGTGCGATCGGTACTCGCCAGAGGGACCGCAGACGTTCGGATACAATTAGCGTCTCTTAGCAAAGACAATGACGTCGAATTTGCTAAGTATCAAGACAATTACTCTACACAAACACACACTACACTAGGTACCTGACTGTATCATGCCAATGATCATAGTTGTCGAGGCATTAACTCAATAATAATAAAAAAAAAACATATATGTTCAATTTTCATACATCAACTAGAGTCTAGCCAGAGTGGTTTTATGTACCTAAGTTGCCTTGAAGTTACATAAAAAATTAAGCACGAACATCGTGTTAAGAGTTTTATAATAAGTTTAATTTTTTTGTTGGTACTTCTTAATGCAAAATATTTTGGGGCAACTAGTTTAGCTACATATGGTCAGAAGGAACGTACCCAACAGGTTCAAATGAAATAACATCGTGTGTGTTTCATTGTCTTTAACACTTAGATATATCTTTGCTGATGATTGCGGTGGCCAAAACAAATAGAACCATTATTTCTAATATTTATCGAAAAGTTTTTAATATTTTATCGAAAATTTGATTAGCTGTATTAATACTATTTAACCCCCAAAATTATCTCTTATTAAAATAAAATATTGGCAATCAAATGCAGCTCATAAGCCGGCAAATCTGGTGCTCCCTCAAAAAAAAATCGACAGGCTCGCAATTTGTTGTATTGAATAAAAAATTATATTTTTTCATTTTTATTAATATTTTTTGATAAGCTTTTATAGACAATTATTGTTAAATGAAAACTTATGTCAAATGCAAAAATAATTCATCAAAAATCAACAAATAACGACGAAAATTCTAAAAATAACACAAAAATTAAAAAAAAAAGCAAAAAGAACAATTAAAAACTGGTATTAAATGACGTATTTTTGCATATGCCGTTCATATTTAAAAATAAAATATACTTGCATTTATTATTTATCATAAGTATTATGCTTACAAATCTGGACTATAGTTGTCAGTTAGAGAGGTAAAATAATAATAAGGATTAAGGTAAAAAATTAAGATATTGAACAAGTTGACAAATTAAAATTCTAAGGAGTCTAGATTACTGAAAATCTTAATCCAAAACAGAAATTCAATCAAAAATAGAGATTTTAGAGGAATTTTTGAGTAACTAAATACTAAATGTGTAAACCCGATATCGAATGGTAAAATGTTATACTTACTCCATTTGTCTTTATGATGCCGAAGCTTGGACTGTTAATGTTGGCTTAATGACATAGATATAAGCTTTGGAGATGTGGCTTTTTAGAAAATATTTAAAAATAGAATGGCTAATCATAATACAAACGAAATGGTGTTGTAGAGAATGGTGTCAGATAACTTTTTACCACCATTAAAAGGAGAAAAAGGGCATATTTTGGGCACATACATAGAAATAACCAGTACAAGTTGTTGCAGCTAATTATTATGAAAAGTAAAATCAAAGTATAAAGGCGTCCCGGAAGAAGAAAATAAAAAGAATTTACAATGGTTGTTGAAAATATTTATTTATGGAGTCGGCTCTCGAATGAAACAAAAAAATAAAACCAGTATGATGCAAACTGGAATTTGATGGAATAAGCATTTAAAACGTAATGGAACTAATATAACTAGGGATTAGCGGTATAGGTTGACAAAGAGATAAAAGATTAAGTACAAAAAATAAATAGATTGTCAAAATGCCTTTTGATAACAAACTTTTGATGAAATAACAAACACTGTATTTCATTACCAACACATTAGCATTAAAATCAAATTAAGAATTTGAAATGCCAGTGTAAGAACAATAATGACTTACGCATTAGAAAGAAGACCCGAGACAGTCAAAACACAACGAATACTGGACAAAAATAAGAATGATCAGAAAAAGAAATTAAACAATCATCAATGTAGATTGGAGGGCATAATAATTGTAAAAATAGTAAGGGACATATCACCTAGAGGTAGAAGAAGTATTGACAGACTGCCAAAGAAGTGGAATGACAATCTTCCATAGATGCAATAATCCACCAGTGAACATGCCAAATTGCTTAACTAAAGAAAGATGAAAAAGATTCGTAAATTCTTCTAAATTTACTAGTATGTACATTATTTTAAAAATATATTTAAATAATATTGGCTTTTATTTTATTATATTTTATTACATTATTTTATTATATTTTATTACATTGGTTTTTAGCTTCCATGAAATTGGTTTAAAAGATACACCAGCAGTCATTGATTTCATTTTAGACAAAACAGGAGAGGATACCTTATCTTACGTTGCTCACTCTACGGGAGTGGCCCAACTTTTAATTACTACAGTTATGAAACCAGAATATCAAAAGAAGGTTAAGATCGTAGCTGCACTAGCTCCAGTAGTTTACCTTGACCACGCGCCTAGTTTACTCCTGCAAATTGTAAATAAAGATAATTATGCAGTAATTTTGGTAAGTACAATTTTAAAATTTTTACAAAATATATAATTAATTGAGAATATTTAATATGGTTCTTAAAACCTTTAACCTAAAAGTGTTTTGGCCCCTTATTTATTACATTAAACATATGGTTAAGTTTTTTTAAAAACAATTAGAGCCGGAGCCCCCTAAACATTGTCGCAGTTTGCAAATCACAGATTATAATTACTGGCTTTAAGATCTACAATTTAACTAAATAATTTTTTTACGACCAATAGAAGCCAATATAGCCTCTTAAAAAAATCATTAACACTTCATTTATAATTATTAAGGAATGAAATTGGTGTCATTCGATTCTGAATAATATTTAAGAAAAATATTTTATGTTTAAAAGAAATGCTTTTTTTTATTAAAATCACACTCTCCAGTAAAGACTCTTATTTAGAACAGTGTTGCAAGACATATGTACATTTTAAACAATTAATATTTTTCTTTTTCAAGAGGTAAACATCAGCATTCCTTGGGGTAATACCTTTTATTGGTCATTTAGCTTCTTAGCAGTACTCGAACATAAATAAAATATTGATACCGGTACCTACGAAAAATAATTGATTTGTAAAAAAAATATTGTTACCGGTACTCAAAAAAATATAGAAACATTTTAAGAATAACGTTAATTCGCAAGAATCAATGTAGTTACCGATAAATTAAATTACTTGCATATTATGTCGCAGTCACCTAAAATGTTTTTTTACAGTTCACTTTCAGTGTCGTCACTCTCACCAGTTTTGATACTGTTGTCACTGTCACCAGTGTTAGTGTGAATTACAACTACTGGTTCTATTTTTTTTTTTTTTTTCATTAAAATATGGATTTCCCACATACTTTGTTCCACTTTAATCATTTAATTTATGAAGTTTTTCCACTTTTCTGGGGTAACTTGATTATAACCTTCACGGATTAAGTTCCTCATTTTAGCTTCATTTCAGTCAAAGCATTGGCCCCAAATTTTGCTCCCATTTAAGTAATTATAAAAGACGTCCGCAATAACCTATTTTTACATCATAATTACATAGGTCCACTTACCGATTAAAAGGCATCAACAAAAGATCATTAGTCATCTTAGACAGTTATGATGAATGTAGTAAATCATTTTCAATTTAACCTTACAGGCTGCAGAAGAAGCTGTAAAAGCAACAGTTATTTTAGACCACAACTCTTTAATATGGGATGTTGGCTTGGGATTAATATGTGGTAACGGTATGAAATTTCAGGAATTGTGTGCTGATTTATTATTTATACTCACTGGATTCGATACTGATGAATTGGATAGGGTAAGTACCAAATAAAATCTTAACGTGATATAGGTTCTCTAGGATCTATAAACAATAGGACCAAGTCATGAATGTACCTGGCTTTTAGTTGGAACGGATAAATAAGGGTCAGCGAGATATGATCTCCCGTTGTGATATTCCCACCATTTTTTTGTATGTTGTATATTTGAACTTTGCAGTCATTAATTGTAAGGGGCAGGATAAGTAAAACTAGATGTTAATATCTTAAGCTTTCGCAAACTTGATTTGCTGCTTCAAGATATGATAAAGTAAATTTAAATTATTTGTTCAGTAGATACAATGAAATTATAATAAAAGAACATTGTATAAAAGACGCATAAAATCTAGAGGTTCGTCCATAAAAATTGTTATACTATCACAAAACATTAAATTTAAAATTCCTAATCTAATAACAATTACTACGCTTTAATTTTGCCTAGGTTTGGGAAGTATATGGCCAAAAAAATTAAGAATTTAAATTTTTACTCCAGTTGTCAGAGACGAAAATGCTACTGAACCTCTAAAAATCATACCAATAAGCTAAATTTTGCATAGAATATTAATTTTGGAACTTCAAAAAAGATGCACAAAAGTTTACCACTTCGACCCCTGAGCTTCCCCCTAAAACCGCCCTCGCAGGAGGGTAAAAACGAAAAAAGATCGATTTACCAAAAATCTGTACGTCGTAGAAAAAAATGTTTTAAATAAAAGATGTAGCTAAGATAATTTTAAACAAAAATGTTTATAAATATTTTTGGTGTATAATGATTTTCTTAGAAACAAAGCTTAAAGCAACCGTCGATTTTGCATGTCAGGTAAGTGCACGAAATCAATGTTCAATAAAATTTGTATCAGCTCGACGGTTAAAAGTCGATATCTTTTGATTTTCTTTATTTTTTCTTATTATTTATGATTTATTTTCTATCTTTTGAAGTGACCTATCGTCAAAAATCAAGATGCGTTTTTAAACGTTAAAAATCAAGATGCGTTATTTTGCTGCAACAAAACTCAGATTTTATACAGGTTGTAACATTTTTTTTTATATAATTAAAATATTAATTATTTTTGTTCCTTTTAACCCGGTGATGATACGCTTATGTTCGGTTTACCATCTTCAAAATTTTATTGACTGCACGGAATTTCTCTGAGTCGAAAGGTTTTTAATCCTTTCCGTCTTAATCCTGAGTATGAAAGAAACTAATGCTTTTTGATGAAGGCGGGTCCTTTATGATAGATTTGTAAATATTCCGAACGCACGTATAGTAATTTTTCTGTAAAGACCTAATCTAGAAGATTTATATTTTATCACGTCCAATTACTAGTATCGTAAATACCTCAAACTTTCCGATGTCGTTGGAATCTTACCTTCTCAGAAATACATACAACTGGCCTACGATTTTTGAATGGGAGATATCCTTTTTTCTTTTTTTTTTGGGGGGGGGGTAGTTTGGTAAATTTTGGTAAAAGAAAGATTTACTTGGGAGTGGGCTCTCGTTAAGTAAAGGCTCACATTATCGTATCTGTTATCTTACCGTCTGTGAATTGTTTTCTAAGTGTGTATACACTTTATATTTGAGTTTTTTTTTGATCCTATACTATATTAGATTAAATATAGTTATAAAGTATCTTCAATGTTAATTAAATTCAGGTTTAATACAAGTATAGTATTATCTTCAGTAAATCAGTGCAGCAATCATCAGGAATTACTGTAAGTTACCATAATCTTAGTATCTCAATTTATCTGGGCGAATAATATGGTATGATGTCATATCATCTCCAATCATCTAAGCAAATCAAAGTTCATCCATGTCTTCACATGTAGTTAAAAGTAACTACGGAATTTTGTATTCAATTTAAAGAACATCCAATAATTCCTTACGAACTTTCCACCACCTACTAATAAATTTCAATAAATAATAATTATGAACATTATGAAGTCTCAGTTTATCATTAAATAATAGTGCGAAGCAAATAATCGACTTAACCGAGTGCGGTTTCGTTAAATTTAAATTTTTTCATTTCTGTAACCTTTTTGTATTTTTAAATTTAGGAACGAAATTTAATATTGTTCAAATAAAATAATACTACATTGTTTACCGGGTAGGAAAAGCTTAAC